AGTGTGCGTAAGTGTGTGTGCGCGTGCGCGTGCGTGTGTGCGCGTGTGTGTGTGTGTGCGCGTGCGTGTGTGCTTGTGTGTGTGTGTGTGTGCGTGTGTGTGTACTTGTGCGCGTATTCCTGTGTATGTGTCCGTCTGCCTTTGTGTGTGGGCGTGTGCTGGCAGGTGTGAGAGTGCGCGTATGTGACGATGCGAAAGGCCGGGGGCGAGGGAGGGAGAGGGACCCTCTACGGACACAACCTCCGTCTCTACCACAGGGCCCGTCCCTCTTCCTTGACCCCCTGCTCCCTCCTTACCTGCGCTTCCCAGCTCTCTGCCCCCGAGCCACGGGTCAATCGCTATGTCCTCTTGGTGTCCCTTTCAACAAAGAAGACGATACGTCAAGCAGTCTTACCCGCAGATAGGAAATGTAAGGTGCTTATCCCCCCAACCCCTCGTTCGACCATTCCCCTTCCCCCCTTGACCCCCGCCCCCCGCACCACGTCGTTGTTATCTTGCTTGACCGAGTAAGAGTTCCTTTCAGGTCACGTCACAATATTACCCGTCTGACGAACGACAACGAGTCAGAAGAAAAGTTCAGAGAGCGCACCACGAGTAATGGCGGGTAGCAAAACTCCCGCGCACGACAAGTCATCACCGTGGCATTCCGACCACATTCGCCGCCTTGAGTAACAACACTATACGACCGTTCCACCCCTACCCTCCATTCCCAAGTAAGGCCGTACCCAGCCGTACACTGTCGGCCCCATCCCATCTGTAAGTATCCTTCCCCGCATATTCCTCCCCTCATCGAGACCGTTCAGGTTGCACTAATCGAGCCCAACCCAACAGATCAACAAACAAGAGAAGGAAAAAGGCAAAGACAGAAAACATGCCCATCCGGATGTCTTGTTTACATTGTTTACATATATAAAAAAATAAAACGCGCGGAGGCGCTTGTTGCCCACGGCTGAATCGTACCCTCATGTAGGGGAAGCCGCGCCCGACCGCGGGCACACTGCCTGGTGGCCAGACGGACACCTTCAACGGTGACGCGGCCGTGGGACGCGGGGTGAACCGTCAAGAGGACGGAGAGGAATGCCCTTTCGGAGAGGGTAAAGCACCGGGAAAGGCGGCACGTATTTTGTTTGGGATAATTCGTGAAATACCCCTATAGGTTGAGATATATGCCAAAATGCCCCTAAAAGATGTGGGTAGAGCGGAATGCCCTTTTGGGCCTAATTCTGTGTTTCGCCCCTGTCAGGCCTGTGTGAAATTTGCAATCTGGACGTCGTCATTGGGGCCTGGGCCTGCATCCTGTCTTACCTGGTTTGCCCTCCATACTGGGTGGGCAACTTTGTGCAATACCCAGGCCCATAGGCGTGGCAGTTTGCCTCCAGCTTTCTAAGTCGTTCGAAGTCGCTGCCCATGCCAACTCCTCGCGCCATTCTTCCAATTCTTCTCCTTTGTCCTCTCCGACATCGTCCTGTCCACCATTCCTCTCTCTCTCTCTCTCTCTCTCTCTCTCTCTCTCTCTCTCTCTCTCTCTCTCTCTCTCTCTCTCTCTCACACACACACACACACACACACACACACACACACACACACACACACACACACTATAGCGGACCCACCAACTGTGGTGCCCCGCCTGGGATGATGATGGAGATGGAGGATGAGGGAGGAGCGAGATGGCACAGCGCAGCTCCCACGCAAGACTCCAGCGCACGTACTCCAAAACTGTGCGAATGTAGAATGAGCCCGTAAACAGACAACTGCTGGGGTATACCCCAGCGGACTAACGGGATTGGACTGGACTTGCTGGTACCGACAGAGGTACCGGCCTGGACTGGACTGCCCCAAATACAACACAGGTCTGTGAGAACAGGCCAAGGGGCTGGTCTCACAGGCCAACCAGAGGTCCGCTACACGATCCTCGGCCTGTGATGGATCGCCTAGATACAAGCACGCTTCCGCCAAGAAGCAGAACTCTACCAAAGAAAAAGAGAAAACCTGAGTAGTCTAGGATGCGGAGCAAGCTCCATGCTGAGTCCATGCGATGCAACGTAGGATAGAAAATGTCACAAAACAGCAATGTCACAGCTAACAGCCTAAGTAAATGCACAGGCAACTACCTAGCATACATAGGAAAGCAGAAAGTAATGACAACGAGATCCTAGAATGTTGGAGGCAGAAGCCTCAGTCTGGAAATAGCTGACTAGTGTATAAGTCCTAAGAACAACAAAAGCAGAACAACTAAATCCTAAAAATGTCAGAGGCAGTAGCCTCAGTCTGAGAGCAACAAGCAACAACAAGTCAACCATATGTCACAGAAAAAGTGTGTTGCAAACCAAAGGATAGGATGGTCTTTGAGGGTGGCGAATGCAGCCTAGGGGTCGATAATTCCTAAGGGCATCCACACATAGTGACAGGGGAACACATGTCATCAGGCTCAATGAGGGTAGGGAATGGGGAGCGAACAGAACCAATGACCCTAACAGATAGACCATCAGGGCGGGTAATGCTCGGCTAAGGGGTGACCGCTATGGAGGGTCGACAGTGCAAGGGAACAAGGGAGCCTGGTATACTGGGCGCACCTTAATGAAGCATGCAAGGCTGTCTAACTAGGGCGTGAGGGTCGGCACGGGGTAGAAAGGTGATGGGTAAGGGGATAGTGCAAATGACTCCTAAAATGAGGGAAGTCGGAGCTAGATCCGTACGCTGGGAAGCCAGGGCAACGCTACGGTCCTGATGCCTATGCGTATACCAAGGGAGAGTCCAACTCAGAGGAACCCGGCTAAAGGGAGACCATCATGCGACACAACAAGGGTACTGTATAGGGTAAAATTGTAAGAGAGTGATGACGTTTGAAGTAGGCAGAGCTGATCGCGACGAAGTCCATGAAACTGTCGATGACGTCCACGATGAGAAGTCCGGAATGTCGTCGAGGAACAGCCGCAACGTCGACGAGTTGAAGTAGCAAAACTAGAGTGGATAGAGTACTGAGAAGTCAAAGACGTGGGAAGGTAAGTCGGAGTCAATCGTCGTATCGAGCATGACGACGACGAGTGCGCTGTGGACGCTCAGAAGCATTCGGCTGCTACTGAAGGTCTGCCTCAGATGGAGCAGGCTCGACTTCAGCGGTCTCCTCAGCCGGGGGAGAAGGGGGAGGGTCAGTGGGCTGAGGAGGAGCAGTCGACCCAGCACGATGAGCATGGTCGTAGGCACGCACCAACATGCAAGTGTGCTGCAAGTGCTCGAGGGGCTCCCAGGTAGCCTCCTCATCAGGGTAACCCTTCCAACGTACGAGATACTCGACGTGGGGAGGGTTGTCGTCGGTGACTCGGCGACCAATGATGTCTAAAACGAGGAACTCCTCGTGGTCGTCCACCATGATGGGTGGAGGGCGCTTGTATGGTCGTCTAGCGAAACGCTCAAACGGTCTGCGGTAAGGACGCAGTAACAATACATGGCAGACATCGTGCACACGAGTCTAGTGTAGGTAGTTGGGCAGCTTCACACGGAAGCTGACCGGGCTAGAAGCCGTATCAGAACCGACGGCCTGGAGGATGCGTCATGGGCCAAAGAAGCGACATCGAAACTTGCGAAGCGTGTCCGCTTCGAGCTGTAAGTGGCGGGCGTCGATAAGCACATCATCACCAACTTTGAATGGATGATCCATCCTCGACCGGTTCGCACGTGCAGCCATGCGAGTCTGGGAAGCGGCTATGTGCTCATGTGCGGTCTTCATGATCAACGTCATGTGTGCAACCCAATCATCCAGTGCGGGACAACTCGTGTCGGGGTGCATCTGTGACGGTTGAAGGAAGTCCGCGGGAACACGAGGGTGATAGCCAAGGTCGCAATAGTAAGGCGACATCCCCGTGGCTGGCGAGACGGCATGGTTGTAGGCTATCTTGGCGTGGGCAAGATGAAGATCCCATTGTTGGTCGTAACGAACGATCTTTCGGAGAATATCTCCGAGAGTCATGTTCGTGACCTCGGTCTGACCATCAGTCTGAGGATGGTAAAATGAGGAAAAGCGGAGCTGGGTGCCGTACACGTGGAGCCGTCGCCAGAATCGACTGGTAAAGCGTGGGTCATGCTCAGATATGATGCTCAGAGGTAAGTCGTGGTCACGCACGACTCGGTCAAACAAGATATGATAGCCAAGGTCGCAATAGTAAGGCGACATCCCCGTGGCTGGCGAGACGGCATGGTTGTAGGCTATCTTGGCGTGGGCAAGATGAAGATCCCACTGTTGGTCGTAACGAACGATCTTTCAGAGAATATCTCTGAGAGTCTTGTTCGTGACCTCGGTCTGACCATCAGTCTGAGGATGGTAAGATGAGGAGAAGCGGAGCTGGGTGCCGTACACGTCGTGGAGCCGTCACCAGAATCGACTGGTAAAGCGCGGGTCATTCTCAGATATGATGCTCAGAGGTAAGTCGTGGTCACGCACGACTCGGTCAAACAAGATGTCGGCAACCTCACGTGCACCGATGACATAGCGGCACGGAACAAAGCGTGCACGCTTCGTGAAGCGGTCGACGACGACCACGATAGCATCATGACCGCGGGGGGTCGAAGGACGAAGAGGACCGATAAAGTCCATCGAGATGGACTGCCAACGACCCTCAAGGATAGGAAGAGGCTGGAGCAAACCATAAGGAAGGTGGTTCGCATTATTCACCTCCTGACAGGTGGGACATTCTGCGACGTAGTCCTTCACAAAGTCCTTGCGCTTCGGGCGGATGTACAGGCGGCTCACACGAGCCAACGTCTTGTGAAATCCCATGACCGGCAACTGCCTGGTCGTGGAACTCTGCTACTGTCCGGACACGTAGCTGTCCAGTGGAGGGAACGCAAATACGGGGCTCTCTGGTGCCCTGTGAACCGTGCCAGTACACGAGACCGTTGTCCCCGAGAGAATAGTTCGGGATGGTCTTGCCACTCCGAAGGGTCGC